TAGACATCAACAACAGAAGGAAAACTGGAAAATCCACAAATACATGAAAATTAAGCAATGCACTCTTAAACAACAGGTCAAAGAAGAAATCACAAGGGAAATTAGAAAACCTCTTGAGACAAATGAAAATGAAAACACAGTGTTCCTGTGTTAGGCCATTCTTGGATCGCTATAAAAGGAATACTCAAGACTGGATAATTTTTAAAGAAAAGAAGTTTTATTGACAGTTCTGCAGGCTCTACAAGCACAGTGCTGGCATCTACTCAGCTTCTGAGGAGGCCTCAGGGAGCTTTTCCTCATGGCAGAAGGTGAAATGAGAAGAGCAAGGGAAGGCTTGAGAAGGAGAAAGAGAAGGGGGAAGTGCCACACACTTTTAAATAGCCAGATCTCATGAGAACTCACTACTGCAAAGACAGCACCAAGGGGATGGTGCTAAACCATTCATGAGAAATCTGCTCCCATGATCCAGTCACCTTCCATTTCACCTTCCTCCGTGAGGAAAAGCACCCTGAGTCCTCCCCAGAAGCTGAGCAGATGCCAGCACCATGCATGTATAGCCTGCAGAACAATGAGTCAATTAAACCCCTTTTCTTTATAAATTACCCAGTCTCTGATATTTCTTTTTTTTTTTTTTTTTTTTCCCCCGAGACAGGGTCTCACTCTGTCACCCAGGCTGGAGTGCAGTGGTGCAGTCTCAGCTCACTGCAACCTCCATTTCCTTGGTCAAGCGATTCTCTAGCCTCAAATTCCTGAGTAACTGCAATAATAGGCATGAGCTACCATGCCTAGGTAATTTTTGTACTTTTTGTAGAAGTGCGGTTTTGACATGTGGCTCAGGTTGTGTGGTATTTCTTTATAGTGATGCAAGAACAGCCTAATACAAAGTCCCACCTCCTACACTGGGTATTACATCTCAACATGAGATTTGGAGGGAACATTCGAGCCATATCAGTGCCCAAACTTGTGAGATGCAGTGAAAACAGTACTAATAGAGAAGTTTATGGCTATGTTTACATTAAAAAAGAAGAAAGATTGAAAACTAACAACCTAACTTTGTACCTTAAAAAACTGAAAAAAAGGAAAAGAAACTAAACCCAAAGCTAACAGAAGAAAATAATAAAGTTTAGAGCAAAGATCAATGAAATAGAGAATACAAAAGCAATAGAAAAAAATCATCAACAAAACTTAAGGCGATTTTTCCAAAGTATCTACAAAACTGACCAATTATTAGGCACACTAATTTTAAAAAAGAGAAGACTCAAATAACTAAAATCAAGAGTGAAAGAGGGGATATTAAAGCCAGTACGACATAAAATAAAGAGGGTTGTAAGAGAATATACAACCAGTCGTATGCCAACAAACTGGAAAACTTGCATAAATGGACAAAATCTTTTAAACACACAGCCAACCAAGATTGGATAATGAAGAATTACATAATCTGGACAGAATTACAACTATTAAAGAGATTGCATCAGTAACCAACACTCCACACAAAGAAAAGACCAAGACCTCATGCCTTCATTAGAATATTTCAGCAAATATTTAAAGAAGAATGAACACCCGTTCTCCTCAAACTCTTCCAAAAAAATTAAAAGAAGGGAAAATCCCAAATTCATTATATAAGGCCAGCATTACCCTAATAATAAAGCCAGATGAAGACAAAGAAAACTACAGACCAACATTCTTGATAGATATTGGAGCAAAAGTCATTAACAAAATACTAGCCAACCAAATTCTTAGGCATAGTAAAAAGATAATATACCATGATCAAGTAAAATTTATTGATGTAAAGTAAGGATAGTTCAACATAAAAAAATCATTTTAATCACATTAACAGAATGAAAGATGAGAACTACATAATCATCTCAATTGATACACACAAAAATAGCGTTTGACACAATTTGATGTTCTTTCATGCTAAAAATGCTCAACAAACTAGGATGTAAGGAAACTATTAATACCACAACATAATAAAGGCTATACATGAAAAGACCACAGCTAACATCAACCTCAGTGGTGAAAACGGAAAGCCCTTACTCTAGGATCAAGAAAAAGGCAAAGATGCCTGCACCCCTTCTATTTAACATAGTACTGGAATGTCCTAGTCAAAGCATTATGCGACTGAAATAAAAGGCACCAAAATCAGAAAGGAAGTGAAATTGTCTCTGGTTACAGATGTCTTAATCTCCTATGCAGAAAGCCCTAAAGATCCCATTTAAAAACTTTAGAATAATTGAATTCAGCAAAGTTGCAAGATACAAGTCAACATACAAAAATCCATTGCATTTCTGTACACTAAAAATGAGCAATCTGCAAAGGACAGTAAGAAAACAATTTCATTTACAATAGCATCAAAAAGAATAAAATACTTTGGAATAAACCTAACCAAGGAGGTAAAAGACTTAAAACTAGAAAACACTGCTGATAGGTATTAAAGACACAAATAAATTGAAAGACATCCAATACTGTTAAAATGTCAGTATTGCCCAAGGTAATCTACCAATTCAGTGCAATCCCTATCAAAATCCCAATGGCATCTTTGGAAATATAGAAAAATCCATTTAAAAATTCATATGGAATCACAAGGGATGCTGAACAGCCAGAACAATCTTGAAAAAGGGAAAAGAGGTCTTTCTGATTTCAAAACATATTACAAGGCTACAGTAATCTAAACATTAGGACTGGCATAAACGCAGACATACAGACCAACAAAAATGAACAGAATTGAGAGCCCAGATATAAACCATTAACCATATGGTCAAACAATTTTGACAGATGTCAACACCATTCAACGCAACAGGAACTATCTCTTCAACAAACGTTGCTGGGAAACTGAATATCCCCATGCAAAAGAGCAAGTTGGACCCTTTTGTTACACCATAAACAGAAATTAACTCAAAATGAATTAAAGACCTAAACATAAGAAACAGAAGTATAAAACTACTAGAAGAAAACATTAGAGAAAAGCTTCATGATATTAGATATGACAATGATTTGTGTGTGACAACAAAAGCAAAAGCAACAAAAGCAAAATAGACAAATGGGACTACAAATGGGGTTTAATCCAACTCAAAAACTTTTATGCATTAAAGGACACATTAAAGTACCAATAAAGTGAACAGACAGCCTAAGGAATGGGAGAAAATATTTGCAAATCTGACAAATTGTTAATATCTAGACTACATACAAGTTCCTACAACTTAAGAACAAAAACAACCTAATTAAAAAGGGGCAAGGGGGCTGGGTGCCATGGCTCATGCCTGTAATCCTAGCACTTTGAGAGGCAGGATTATAGGCACGAGCCACCACAGGAAGCAGGAAGATTGCCTGAGCCCAGGAGTTCAAGACCAGCCTCGGCAACCTAGTGAAAGCCCCTCTCTACAATAATGTTTTTTTTTAAAATGAGTCATGCATTGTGGCACACACCTGTAGTTCCAGCTACTCAAAGGGCTGAGGTGGGAGGATCACTTGAGCTTGAGAGGTCAAGACTTTAGTGAGCCATGATTGTGATACTGCACTCCAGCCTGGGCAACAGAGTGAGACTCTGTCTCAAAGAAAACAAGGACAAGTGACTTGAATCTACATTTCTTCAATGAAGGTATACAAATGACCAACACGCATATAAAAAGATGCTCAGTATCACTTATTAGAGAAATGCAAATCAAAACCATTAAGGTAGCACGTCACATTCATTAGGATGACTAGTTTAAAAAAAAAAAAACAAAACAGAAAATAACAAGTTTGTCAAGGATTTGGAGAAATTAGAATTTTTGTGCACTGTTGGTAGGATTGTAAAATGGTGAACCACAATGAAAACAGTATGGTGTTTCCTCAAAAATTTAAAAATAGATTCACTGTATGATACGGCAATCCCCCTTCTGAGTATATGTCCAAAAGCACTGATAGCAGGGTTTTGGAGATATCTGCACATCCATGTTCATAGCAGCATTATTCACAATAGCCAGGAGGTGGAAGCAACCCAAATGTCAATAAATAGAAAATGGAAAAACAAAGCATGGTATATACATACAATAGCTTACTACTCAGTCTTGAAAATGAAGAAATCTTGTCACATACTACAACACGGATAAACCTTAAGGACATTATGCTAAGTGAAATAAGCCAGTGACAAAAACACAAATACTGTATGATACCACTTTTACAAGATCTAAAGTTATCAAATTCATATAAACAGAAAATAAAATGTTGGTTATCAAACTGAGAGAGGGGCAAATGGAGAATTCTACAATGGGTGCAGTTTCAGTTTTACAAGACAAAAAAGTTCTGGAGATTTGCTTCACAACAATGTGAATATACTTAACACTATTGAACTGTATGCTTTAAAATGTTTAAGATGGTAAAAATTATGTTTTGCCATACACGGTGGTCCTAAGAGGTTTTTTTTTTTATTTTTTGGTTTTTAATAAGGTTTATGTTTCTTACAAAAAATGTATTTTTCACAGCTTCGTTATGTTTCAAACAATATTTTTAAACAATGTCCTGTCAAAGTTGCCAATATCTCTCTATACACCTCTGTACATCTCTAAGATATGGGGGTATATATCTCCCTATAACGTTTAAAATGCTAATTGAAAGCAAATATTAGGTAAGATATTTTCCTTTTCTTTTCAAATTACGTGCTATATGTGAAAGAGTAAAATCACTTCTTGCAATATTCCAAGATAAAATATTCCAGTAATTGGCTAACAAAAACAAAAAATACATAAATAATAAGCTGGTTAAAAACACTATATATAAGAAAGATATAAATGAATTTTTAAAAATCAATATTTGAAAACATTCACTATACTGTTATCAAACTGCTGAAGTATAAGAATGACAGAAGTCATAGGGAACTAGGACAACAAGATTTTCCAACTGACAAAATAAAGAAAAAAGTTCCACTGGGATATGTGCAAGTTGTTCTGTAATCTTACTTATGAGGGAGTTAGCAGAAATTGTACTTAGTATTTCACTCATATATTAATCATTTTTAACAGAATTCCTGGGGCCTTTGGACAGAGGGGATATGCTAAATGAAGCTTTTATTGGCCTGTCTTTAGCACCTCAAGGGGAAGACTCATTTCCAGATAACCTCCCTCCCTCTGGCCCAACCCACAGACATATTGTACAACAAAGAATACTGAATGGCTCTTCTAACAGGTAAGAAATGTTGACTGACGAAACTGCTCCATAAAGTATTTAGTATTACCTGTTCAAATGTGAACTAATAGCAAAGCAAGAATATTTCAAAATGTGAAGGAGAAAAATTTGCATTTCTCATGGCTCAGACTCTGCAGGAGTTTGGTTATTCAGAGCAGGCATAATGAATGGCAGAAGTGAACGTAAAAATAATATTGCTACAATAAATGTTATTCTACGCCAAAATGAAATTACTATAAAATATTGTCTGCATTCTGCTGTTAAATTCTAGGATTGTTGGACTGCCTTTAATAAATATTAACTTTTAGAATATGTAGTTTGAATTATAATTTATATAATATTTCTTTAATGCAAGGTTACCATTAGTTTTTGAAATCTGATAAATGATAGTTTAAATATCTGATATCTGTCTAGTTTGCTACATGGGGTTATTGAGAAGATAAAGAATATGAAATTAAAAAAAATTAATAATGTTATTTACAGTGATAATGATAATATTAATTATGATGATAATGATTCTCTCAAGCAAGGTTCAGCAAGCTTTTTGTGTAAAGGGCCAGACAGCAAATATTTTAGGCTTTGCAGGTCACACAAACTTTTGCAACTACTCAATCCTGCTGTTACAGTAAAAAAGTGGCTACAGACAATATATAAAATGAATCAGAATGGGGGTGTTACAATAAAACGTTATTTATAAAAATAGGCAGTGGGTCAGATTTGGTCCCTGGTTTATGCGTAACATTCCTGCTTTTGAGGATCCTATTTTCAGTAATTGTAAAGAGGCCAAATTAAAAAAAATATGTATATATCAATTATATATACCCACCTACAATACCCTCAAGAAAAATGCCTCAAACTATACACATTAACAGCAAATAAAGAGGGGGAGGATTTCCAAGTATGAAAGAGTTTATTTGGATATCGGCAAATCCTCTCCCCAAGAAACTATATAAAACTAGACAAAAACCATCATTTCTGGGCGTTGGAAATCAAACAAAGGCAAGCAACAAATTGAGAAGCATTTATTCATGAAAAATTGCTGAACTTCTAGTAATAAAGTAGAAGTCTTTTATTTTCTTGCCTGAAGCTGCTTCCATCATCCTGCCCGTCCCCAGACTAGTTCTACCAGGGTAGGGCTGGCTTTAAAAACCAACAGCTGACTTGATTTGGAGCTGAGGGTGGAAAAACTCTACCTAGCAGCATTGTCTAATAAAAGTAGCAAATTATTGTCAGTAAAAGTGACAAACTTGATAGGAAATGCCAGTTCTGCTCGTCTGATTAGGGCAAGTGACTGAATGGCAAACTAGCCAAAAATTCAACAGGGAGATCCTGGAAATGAGAAAACCAAAGAGGGGCTAATTAAACTCTCCACAAAATCTTTTTTTTTGAGACAGAGTTTTGCTCTAGTTGCCCAGGCTGGAGTGCAATGGCACGACCTAGGCTCACTGCAACCCCCCACCTCCCTGGTTCACACGACTCTCTTGCTTCACCCTCCATAGTAGCTGGGATTACAGGTGCCCACCACTGTGCCCTGCTAATTTATTTATTTATTTGTATTTTTAGTAGAGACAGGGTTCCACCATGTTGGCCAGACTGGTCTCAAACTCCTGACCTCAGGTGATCCACCTGCCTCGGCCTCCCAAAGTGCTAGGATTACAGGCATGAGCCACCACGCCCAGCCCGCAAATTCTTGATGGGATTGTATGACCTCTCATTTTTTGGCTTTCTCTTGCCTGGTATTTTCCACCTTATGCTTCTTTCTTCCTTCACACCCAAATGCCAAAAGTGCCCCTCTCTTTCTGCCTTTTCCCTGAGAAGCTATCCTTTTTGAAAACTGCCTCTTCAGATTGCATGGTACTTTATAGCATCTTCCTTGTAGTTCATGCTTCAATGTACCAGAATATCAGGCGCTAGGGAGATCATGCATTAGCATTTGCTGTTTTTTCCATTTTATTTACAATTATTTTGAAGTTTGAACATTCTCTGTCTTCAAGTTATGCTAAGAACATGATTGTCATGTAGTTTCATTTTTCCTTGTATAATGTTCTGTATTGTTTATAAAAGAAGTATTGGGAGATAGAACATAGGTGACTGCTGTTATCTTCAGCTACCTAGAAGTCCTACCTCTTTATTTATTATTTATTTATTTTGGGGGCAGGGTCTCACTCTGTCACCCAAGCTGGAGTGCAGTGGTGCGATCATGGCTTACTGCAGCTTCGACCTCCCAGGCTCAGGTGATTCTCCCACCTCAATGTCCCGTGCAACTGCAACTACAGGCACGTGCCACCATGCCGGGCTAATTTTTGTATTTTTTGTAGAAACAAGGTTTCACCATGTTGCCTAGGCAGGTCTCAGACTCCTGGGCTCAAGTGATCCTTCTGCCTCGGCCTTTCAAAGTGCTGGGATTACAGGCATGAGCCACCACGTCTGGATACTTCTTTAAAAACAATTTTACTGAGCTATAACTTACATATACCATAAAATTCACCCATTGTAAGTATACAAGACAACGATATTTGGTAAATTTATAAAGCTGTATGACCACCACCACAGTTTAGGTTTAGAGCATTTCCATCACCCCCAAATAGTTCCGTTATACCTAATTTCCATTCTCCTAACCCAGCCTGAGGCAAACATTGCTCTGCTTTCTGTCTCTAGAGAAATTTTGTATAAATGAAATCATATAATCTGGACAATTTATATAAATGAAGTCATACAATACATTGTCTTTTGTATCTGGCATCTTTCACTTAGCATTATGTTACTGAGGCTCATGTAATATATAGTTTACTCCTTCTTAATTGCTGAATAGTATTCTGTTACATGGATGTGCCACATTTTGCTTATCCACTCACCAGCTGATGGATATCTGGGTTATTTCCATTTTGGGGCTATTATGAATAATGTTGCTGTAAACATTCACATTGACGTTTCTAAGTGGACATATATTTTCATTTCCCTTGGGGAGATATCTAGGAATTGAATTGCTGGGTCTTATTCTAAGTTTGTATTTAATTTGCTAGTTTTAAGAAACTGCCAAATTGTTTTCCAAAATGCCTGTAACATTTTACATACTCACTAGCAATATATAAGGATTCCAGTTTCTCAGTATCCTCACCAACATTTAATATTGTCGATCTTTTTTTATTATAACTATTCTGGTGGGTGAAGAATGATATCTAATTGTAGCTTTAATTTGCATTTCCGTAACAACTAATGATGTTGAACATTTCTTATTTGCTCATTAGCATTCTTTATTGTTATAACTATTCAAATTTGTTGTCCAATCTTTAGTTGAGTTGTCTTGTTATTGAATTGTAAGATACTTTTATATATTCTGAATACAGGTTCCTTATTAAATACCTGATATGCAAGTATTTCCTCCCTGTGACTTGCCTTTTCATTTTCCAGTAGTGTCTTTTGAAGTGCAAACGTTTCCAAATGTTGGTGAAGCCCAGGAGAGCAATTTTTTCTTTTTTTGATTGTCTTTTATGTGTTGTACTTAAATTTCTTTCTAATCTGAGAATGTGGATGGATGTTTTCTCATGTTTTCTTCTAGAAGTTTTATAGCTTCCGCTCTTAAATTTAAGTCCATTTCGAGTTAATTTTTATGTAGGATGTGAATAAGGGTCTAAGTTCATTATTTAGAACATAGAAATACACATTTCCCCAGTACTTTTTTTGAGGGAAAAAAACTCATTTTACCCACTGAATTGCCTTTGCCCCTTCATCAAAAATCAACTGACTATAGGTGTTAAGTGTTTATTTCTGGATTTGTCATTCTGTTCCATTCATCTATATGTCTATTCATACAGTAACAAGTGCCTAGACTTTGCTCTACTGAGGACCCTACTGAACTAGGATCTCACAAAACATAGCCAATACCACAAAAATAAACAAGAAAAAGATGAACAGTTTCATACGAAGTTACGTCAAAGTAACAGAAAATGAAAACTACACACATCAATTAAGGAAAATTATCTTCCCCCAAAACAATCATGATGTCAAAGAAAACTGTACAACAACACACCAGGCAGAATTAGATATATTGGAATAAGCAACTGGGTATATTGAAACCCATTCTGAATTAGAAAGACAAAATGAGGCCAGGCATGGTGGTTCATGCCTGTAATTCCAGCACTTTGGGAGGGTGAGGCAGATCACCTGAGGTCAGGAGTTCAAGACTAGCCTGGCCAACATGGTGAAACCCCATCTCTACCAAAAATATAAAAATTAGCCTGGCATGATGGCACATGTCTGTAATCCCAGCTCCTTGGGAGGCTGAGGCAGGGGAATTGCTTGAACCCGGGAGGCAGAGGTTGCAGTGAACTGAGGTCACATCATTGCACTCCAGCCTGGGTGACAGAGTGAGACTCTGTCTCAAAAAAAAAAAAAAAAAAAAAAAAAAAAGAAAAAGAAAAAGACAAAAATGAAAAATAGAAATGGACAGGAGAGGAGGAGGGAGGGATGGAAGAAGACACCAAGAAAATTGGCCAGGTGTAGTGGCTTGCACCTGTAATCCCAACACTTTGGGAGGCAAAGGTGGGAGGATCCCTTGAGCCCAGGGGCTCAAGACCAGCCTGGGCAACATAGCGAGACCTCATCTCTACAAAAAAAGAAAAATAAATTAGCCTGGCATGGTGGTCCATGCCTGCAGTCCCAGCTACTTGGGAGGCTGAGGTGGGAGGATCGCTTGGGGCCCTGAACATTAAGGCTTCAATGAGTCCTGATTATGCCAGTGCACTCCAGCCTGGGTTGCAGAGTGATATCCTGTCTCAAACAAAAACAAAAACAAAAAAGTCCACTGAAACAAATAAATGAAAAAAAAAGCATAATATTATCCAAAAATGAAAAATAAGTTACAGGGTACCCAAATGAGAATAAAGTCATTATAAAACTTAATTTAAAACATTGAAAATGGCAGAAAACAAAAGAAAATGAGAAGTAAAAAGTCAAGACAAAGTAATGGAATGGGAGATAAGACAAAGAAGCAACAGCAC